TCGACAAACACCCAGAGAGCTCCCACAGTAGTACAACATCATGTGGCTATACTTTCAGGAAACTGTCATTCATACAATTATATCTTGCGTGTGAATAAAATACATGCACAGCGGCTACTTTTGCAAACCATTTTTAGCCAAATTCTAAAGAGAATGTGTCAGTACACGTAAGGGCTAAATTTAGACATTTTACTAAAGATGAAAGAATGTCTTTTTAGTAACGTCTCTAAATTTCCCTTATAATTATAATTTCCACATTCCTAAAACTGGCAATTGCCTATAATTTTCTATGGGGATCTATAAAGACCCCGGCCACAGTTTCGCTCCACGTACAACTCACCTCTTTCTGAAGGTCGGTGTTGGTGGTTTCCGTGGCAGCGAGCATCTCCTTGAGTCGCTGCAGCTCGGCAGTGTGTTTGGTCTGCACCGAGGACACAGAGTCCTTCAGGTCCGCCTCCTTCTCTTCCAGCTGAGCTTGCAGTCTAAGGAGACGAGAGATAGAAAATCATGGACATGGTTTAGCTACTTCTATCTTTAGTAACGTTTCTATCTTTAGTAATGTTTCTAAATTTAGCCCTTGTGTGCTGCCACATTACCTTTAACCTGTCGGTTCGTCGCAGTTTAAAAAACTTACTTCTGAATCTCTTTCCTGGAGTCTTCAGTGGCAGGTCGTGACCCGGAGCGTCTTTGAGCTGACTTCGCGCTTTGCAGTTCTTCCTCCATCGCTGCCACAGCTGCTTCTGCTCTGTTCTTTTGCTTCAGAGCTTGCTTCAAGTCACCCCTCATCTCCTCCAGGTCTTGGAGTAGCTGAGGAAGGGAGGGAGGGAGGGAGGGAGGGGGAAGAAGAAGAAGAAAGTAAGAAAGTAAGGATCAAGAAACTAGAAGTGCTACAACAAACTCTTGGAAAAATTTAACAAGTGTAGTCGTAGCCAGCAGTGCATGGCATGAAATGCAAGTAACACTGCTCAAATGTCAAATGACAGTTGATAGGCACAAAAGTTGGAAAATGTACTTCAAAACCCATGTTATCTGTGGCAGACTTTCCTAAATACACTGGCTGTTCCATCAAAAATTTTCAGTTACATATATACGTAGTGTGTGTAGGTGACACTACATACCCCTCTCCTTTCTCTCTCGCTTTCTCTGTTTGTTTTTCTCAGAGTTTCAATCTTGTTCACCTTTTCCTCTGCACGCATGCATACATACATATAAATACACGTCGAGTAAGGAGAAACGTAATATATAGAAAAGCAGCAGAAAGTTGAATACACCACAGTCGAGAAACCCACCGATCTCTTCTTCCTTCTCTCTAGCAAGACGTGAATACTTCACCTTATGAGCACGAGTGTCGTTCAGTCTGAGGAGTTAATAATAATATAAAACAGAAGTAATGATAGCGAACTTACATACTTATAACACTGCTACTCTACATTTTGAAACTAGCAATGCTCAAAAAAGGCCCTCCCTCCCATGCTACTATGTTGTTCTACACCACAGGTATACCGTTTCTTGTCCCTCCCTCCCTCCCTCTCTCTCTCTCCCCCTCTCTCTCTCTCTCTTCTCCTCCCTCGAACAAACTGTTTACCACTGTCACTTTGTAAACTTAAAATACTGCTACTCTAAAACTAGCAACCTTCCTCCTCGCTCCCCTCCTTACTTGTCAGTGATGCGAGTGATCTCGTCCTGAGACTCACGATACGCAGCCTTGGCCTCTCTTACGTCCTTGTCTTTACCGGCCAGCTCTTCCCTCAGTCCTGCTATCTCCTCCTGAACATTTCATGAATAATTCATAAGATCATCATGACATACAACCCTCAGCATGCTCAGACAGTGTTATGTTAACACACACACATAACTGCAGTTACGTAGGATAAGTGACATCCTAATGCAAATGTAATACACACTAGAGAGCCAGTTGTTCATGGTTTGTTGGTTCCAGTCTGTTTGAGCATTGGACTGCGTCCGTCCTCTAAGATGTGTGTGTGTGTGTGTGTGTGTGTGTGTGCTAAACTAGTAGTCAGTGGAGACCGTAACTACATTATGTGTGTTATGTACCAGAAAGTTATACCTATTACATGTGTAAGAGTTTGAAAGTGGTCTCAGCTATATATAGGTTAGACGCGGAAGCGAGGTGTCTACGCTACATTGCAACCCGAGGGGCTGTGGAATGTTGGCGTCCCGAGCGCAGCGAGGGCGCTACCCACATGCCCCGAGGGTTGCAATGTTGCGTAGACAACCGAGCTTCCGCGTCTAACCGGTTTAGACCGGAGTATCTGATTGGTGTTTGCGCGTTCAAATGGGTAGCAACAAGCTAGCAACGCTGCGCTCATTCTTACCTTCGGATGGAACAAGACGCTTTTTTTACGTGTGAGATTTTGTCCGACTCCGAGCAGACAGCCCCCGCCCCCCGTCAAAAATCGTTTACGTCATCATAAAACGCCCTCATTGGTGGTGCGCATTTGAAAGGTTAGCAACGCACGGCAACAGCCCAATGTGTTTGTGTATCGCCAGAGCTGAAGAAGCCGACGCTTTTTTCGTGGAATATTGACGTGATTTCTGACTTTCGCGAGCTCCGGAGACTGTCCACAGACTTCTTGCAGGTGCACTGCGCATTTTAAAAGAGCTACTTTACCAGTCGCGCCTTCTACGCTTACCGAACGCGGAATCGGCCGGTTTGCGCAGATAACGACTTTTGAGAATAGCCATTTTGTACGGGGAGTTTGCTGTAGACCACCTGCAAACGCCATTAGACACCTGAAACGAGGTGTCTATGAAAAATAAACCCCCCGCAATTCTGTAATCTGATTGGTCAATTGCGCGTGACTGCGGTCTAAACATTGTTTACTGACTGGACACACCTGTAGCTGGGCCTTGTCAGATTTGAGAGTTCGTGAAGTCCTCTCAAGAGTCCGCATCTTTGTCACTTCTGAAAATATATACATAATTAATTTTATGTACGTACCGAACAGAAGAAGCTGGTTTTTCGTTAAATTTTGAGGTTAGTACAATGACTTAAGGGGCAGAACCAAGTGTCCCTTATAGAGAGGTCTCCTTTATTTCAGGGATTTCGTTTCAGAATTCGCACCTCCGCCACTTGAAGCTGGTTTTTCGTTGGCTACTCTGGTGGCTAGTTGCTCCTTCAGACTCTCCACTTCTCTCTGAAGACGGCTCCTCTCTCTGCGAACTTCGGCTGAGGCTGAACGACAGAGGTAGGGAGGTAGGGAGGGAGGGAGGAAGGGAGGGAGAGAGGTAGGGAGGGAGAGATGGGACAAAGTAAAGTAATAAACAAGTAGCAGCGACAGAGGAAGAGGAAGGAAAGAAAGGGGAGGAAAAAAGAGGGGAAAGTAGGAAAAAATACGAGCGAAAGAGGAAGAGGAAAGAGAGAGAGGGAGAGAGAAAGAAGGGAGGGGAGCAAAACAAACAAACATTGGTAGGACACAAGCAGTTGCTTCTGTTCAAAAATATCTCTGTGGAGGTTAAGGCTAGGTGCACAATATGTCGCATTGCCCCGTCGCGTCCTGCCGCGAAGATAGAAATTGATTCTATCCTTCCGATGCGGCAATGCGGGACGGCGCGATGGGGCAATGCGGCACATTGTGAACGTAGCCTAAGAGCTCACCGTCGCCCCCACCAGAGGGCTCAGGAGCAGGCGGTCTGTCACACAGCTTGCTGTTGTTGGTGTAGGTGAACCCGACGAATGGGAGGTGGACAGTTAGGGCCGTGACTTTGTTCAGAGCATACGGATCAGTCTGTGGAATCAAGACACACACACAATAGGATACACATACACTACAACGGATGCATAACCCGTTCACTTGCGAGTGTGAGCAGTTTCATGCACATTTACACAGAATCAAGTAAAGATTTAAGAGATTAGTGTGCTTGCTTCACTCCCCAAGTACGGTACACGCATGCATCATAACGTACATACTGTAATCTACCCTTCCTCTATCTATGGCTACGGTATAAAACAGCTACAATATGTCTTTGGTAAATTTCCCTGCACACGGGCCCACACCACGTACGGTATGCGGACGCCCCAGGGAGTCGTTGTCCTCCAAGAGTTCAAAGTTTCTGGTGTCAGTAGGACTGGAGTACTCCGGGATGTAGGGCGGTTTGGTCTGCCGCAAGTTGTCCCAGTCGACCCCCGAGAAAAATGGGTGTGGCTTGAAGTCGCCGACCCCATTCCGTCCCAGTCTGGAACCAGGTTCACAGATCAGCCTGAGGGAGAGGGGCGGGGCAAACAGAGAGGGTGCGTGAATCTTCAAGTTATAAGTATCAAATTACAAACAAATGACACCCAAAAAACCAGAGAAGAAAGAGCTGCAGGATTGAAAGCCCAACACACTCTACCTATTGATTGAACTGTACAAGCTACAAGAGCAGCTCGGCAGGCAGGGGCTCAAATCCTATACATGACCCTTCTCTTCTCTTCTCTTGGCATCACATGGTTTTTTTTACATGAAACCTAGTCCCAGTGCATGCCTCTGCCTGCCATTGCGTTGTCTTGACACAAAAGACAGTACTTAAGACAAGTTCAACGCTATGGATTTACATACATGTTGATTAGGTCCCTGGCTTCCTTGGAGACCTCCGACATGCTCACGTCCAGGAACTTGAAACGCGTCTGAAAAACAAAGAAAAAGGTTCATCAATTCTTCCAACTTCCACGCAAAGCATTTGATTATGTTGGACTCAGAATACGAGCTTTGAATGAATATTATAGCTTATCTTTTGGAGAGAAAAAACGAACACTGAACTTTAAACCCATTGTAAGGGAACACCATTAGTGCCATTTGCTTCTTGTCAAAAATCAAAGCAACAGAGTTACTGAACTACAACTAAAATGATGAGTCTTCTCCCTCCAATTTGCAATTTATTTACGTGAGTACATACCTTGTGTTGCATGATCTTGCCGTAGGTCTCCAGTAGTGACTCGGCATAGAACGGAGTCTCCCCAAACAGCATCTCGTAGAGACATATGCCCAGAGACCACCAGTCACACTCCTTGCCATACACTCCCCTTACCATCCTCCATTGCCTGGAGGTTTATACAGCGAAAGAAAGGTCAAATTGAAGTAAAACAAGGCCACATGAAAATGGAGAATGGTCACAATATTACATGGAATAACCTTAGTGTGAAATTTTTACGGGTATTTTAATTTTGCGAAAGAAAGCTAAATCACATTTTTAAATGCAAGCACTTTATTATTAAAAATATGCGTCTTTCGTTATTACCCGCTAAATATGAGGGTCAGCAAAACCGCAAAATAAGTATATAATCGTAAATATTGGCACACTAAGGTACACACACGTATAGCATGTGTGACACCTTTGATACGCCCATAGCCCAGTGCAATAAAAAGGTCTTCACGCTATGGCATATCCGTAAACTAAAAAATACGACAAAAAGCACAAGTATTGAAACAACTGTGGGTACGATGTAAATGTAGAAATCACAAAAAGTAAACCTGCAAGATCTCCGGGGAGATGTAGTCTGGGGTTCCGACTGCTGTGGTGCAGTTGACTTTCCCCTTTGAGCCCATTTTCAGACAAGACCCAAAGTCAGCCAGTTTTATGTGACCGTCTTTGTCGATTAGCACATTGTCAGGTTTGATGTCACTGGAGAGGAGGGAGGGAGAGGAGGAGGGAGGGAGAAGTGTTACTAAAGGAATTTATTGCATTCTTTCACTGTGTTCCTGGTTTGTTCTATCTTTAGTAACATTTCTAAATTTAGCCCTTATATCCTGCCACATTCCCTTTAACTAGTCTACACATACACGCGTACACCGCAGCAACTGTTGAATAGTACTGAGCTAGCTATATATATACACATAGAGTAAGGTGGTAGAGTCCCATACCGGTGTACGTATCCCAGCTTGTGAATGGAGTCAATTGCAACCACCATCTCTGAGGCATAAAACCTGCAGCAGTCAAACAACATCATGATAATACACATCGCCCGCCAAATCGGATACATATTACACATGTGTACAGAACTATTAACTTGCACACACACACACGCACGCACACGCACGCACACACACACTCCAAGGGCTAGAGTTATAGATGTGTTTGTTTTCTCTCCATGGTAATATTGGCCACCACATCACAATGGGTTTCAGTACCACACTATATATGTGAAAAGGAAATTTCTTGGAAAAAAACTTGAAAACACTTTTACTGTGGTGTATGGCGCGTAAAAGTAGTGAAAAAGCCACTAGCATCTTTTGCCAGTAGTTGCTAGTTCAGTGAACCACACTGGGAGGACAAGTATGAAGGCTAGCAGCTTCGCATGTGATGCAGCTAGCAACTAGCCCACATCGAGATACTAACAACATGCTGCAGCCCAGGCAGTAGTATGCAAACGGAACTAGGGAGCAAGTAGAACAGCCCTCAGGACATGCCAAAACCCTAGAACGGCCAACAGAGTTCCTAGACAGCACTGTTGCCAAGACACCGCCAAAAGAAACCCCGGCATTTTCTCAGAGGACGGCGGAACTCTTCCATTTGGCAAGCTCTTGTGGGAGACAGGAAGACGTGAGAGAGCTAAAATAAAATGGAGTACACGAAGTGGGGATTAGATCAACGGCAATTCCTGACACATTTTGGCCGCGTTCTTAAGAAGAATAGGGTTTACATGACAACACTTCCTGATTAGTCATACTGTACGTGGTTCTACATTTATACATACATCACCTGGTTGGCAAAGTGATGGCTTGATTTTATATTATGCGTCAATAATTATTGAGGGGCGAAACAAGGGCACCAAACACAAGGCAGCATACACTAGTAAAGTAAGTGCTGCTGTGTGACAATTATGTAAAGCAGGGATTAGTGCTCGAAAACCACAGTTATATGATTACGTAACAGTGTGTAATCAAAGACCTTATATACAATGCTTGTGGTGAACCGCAAAGTGTAGGAGGGTACAAAGACGCACAAAAGACATTTGACTTTCTTGTGTCCATCTATGTGACAGGACACACAAAATTTGTGCAACTGGAAAAGATTTTTTTGCACTCACCAACGAGGATGTATACCATATTATGCTTTTGAGTTTTGTCTTGCTTTGAATGAGTTTGTGAGTTGGCTTCTAACACTTAGAAATTGTGAATGTGTCTTTGCATCTCGAGTATGGTATTCAATAATGACAATATAGTTCCCAGCAAGGTACGGCTCCAACCTGGCCATGGGCTCTGGTAGGTGGTCTTCGTATTTTGAAAGAAGAGTCAGGACGTCTCCACCAACATAGTAGTCCATCACAAAGTACTGGAGATAGAAGGGGGAGGAGAAGGGGGATAGGGAGAGCAACGTAGAGGAAAAATGAGGGAAAGGTGTTCAAACGTTCGCTGGAAGGCGTTTTGTGTAGCATGAAAAAGTAAGGCGAAAAGTGAAAATGAAAAATTCCTGGTTAGCTTTCAGACAAACGTTTCCTTATGTGATAAACACAGTGAGCATACACACGTGTGTGTGTGTCAACAATAAGATATCAAGGCAAAGACAAACCAAACGAAACAACAGGAAAACTGTGCAGGATGTGTTACCAGGTTGGTTTTGTCTTGGAATGCGTAGTGCAGTGTCGTGATCCAGTCCTGGTCCCCAAACACCAGGACATCTCTCTCTTCTCTGAAACAGGCAGTCTGTCGAACAAGAGAGAGAGAGGGGGGAGGAGGGAGGAGGGAGACATTTTAATGGCACACTCTCTACTTAAACAAACAACAACACTTTCAGTTTCGCTACACGTTCATTAATACTATGACTACGCATTGCTTGCTGTGGCAAAGCTGTGCAGTCAGAATAACGCAACAAAATCACACAAAAAGTGGGAGTATAAGTGGAACCAACGATGCTTGACATTATGGCGGACCTGTTTACTAAGTACGGCTTGCCCAGGGTCACCCAATATTATACGGTAACAGAGGCCATCCATATGAGATACTGGCACAGTGTGCAAGCAGGGTTAGGGTGATACGATATACCAGGCAGTTGCTAGTGGGGGGTTGATCAGCCATTCATAATGTTACTGCCACACCTATCAAATGACTGCCATCCCACACTGCCAGGTATACGTATATTATATCACATACTGAACACTAAGTTTTAGACCGACAAGTTATCAGAACTATATACGCGCTCGTTCCTTCTATCATGCTTGCTTATAGAGATAGACACCATTCTTATGCATACAGTGTGTGCGTGTGTGTGTGTGTGTGTGTGTGATGTGTGTGTGTGTGTGTGTTGTGTGTGCGTGCGTGCGTGCGTGTGTGTGTGTGTGTGTGTGTTGCCTAGTAAAACGCACTTCCTATAGCACACTTCCAGTGATTGTAAAGGGGGAAGTAAACTGATATTTCCCTGGAAGAACTCTAGCAAAGCTTATAAAAACACCATACACTACAAGTGCCCAGTAATGTCATGTAAAAGGGCATATATAGACGGCTGAAAGGTCAGTAATTAGGGGAAGTGAACTTGTGTTTTCCGGGAAGAAATCCAGCAAAGTTTAGAGCAACATTTATACACAACATAGAGACGAAGTATGACTAGAAAAATGCGCCAGCAAATTGGTATTATAGCAACCACCTTACCACTTCTTCATTAACCAACAAGTGAAACACAACATATTTCCCATTATTTGGTCTCTAGCTCATACTCTAATTGGTAATCCTTCCAGAAGCATAGAAGCGATGTTATATATGCTTCCTCTATGCACGCACAAAAGGGCAATAAAACAAAAAAAACCATTAGTGATAAAATAATTGTATATAGAAAAAATGTTTTTGTCAGCCTACGAGAACAGCAAACTAAAACCAAATTAGTAGCTGTGTCACAATAAAATAGGTATTTGAAAGAATCTCACGCACCTGATGTCGTTTCAACATTTCGACTTTGTTGAGGATCTTGAGAGCACAGACCTTCCCCGTCCCCTTCATCTTCACAACCTGAGAGACAGGTCAGCAAAACCAGTTAAACGGGTCAGCAAAACCAGTTAAACTGGTCATACCAGCAGGCATTGTCATAGCCACTGATATACGGAACTACACCACTGAATAGCACAACTGAAATCACCGAACCTTAAAATTTACAGCTGTCACATCATTGTCAACAATGGTACTTCACTCCTATAGCATTCTGTAGTGCATGGGCATCAGGCATTCTAATCTTATTGGGTCCGCTGACAAATAGCCCATTATTAGGCTGTTAGGTAAGTCAGCAAGTCAAACAAAGTCTTGTATATATATAGGGAGATTGTCCTCTCTTTGGTGGTGAATAGAAAAGTGAACGTCTGGGACCTCAAAATGTGTCCTTTATTGAGAGGGTTTCTTCCTTTATTCAGGAGTGTCCTTTATCGGAGGTTCTGTCCCTCATTTACAGTGCCCTATATTAGATGTTCTGCTGTAGACAGTGTAAAGACCTTGCTACAGTATTAAGACCTTGACTTCTCCAAAGGCCCCTCTTCCGATGACTTCCAGCGTGTCGAAATCCTCAGCTGACAGCCTCAGTGATGTGATGTGATCAACGACTGGCTTAGCTGGGGAGAGAGGGCGAGAAAGACAGAAATGGATTCTATGTTCACGACGTGGAATGGCGGTGACATCGCGCAACGGGCCAATGCGACATATTGTGAACCTCGCAAATGGGACAGGCCTGTAGATACACATGCAGATAAGAATTGCGAGAGTAAGATCGAGAAAGAGAGAGAAGGAAGGAAAAGAGGAACTAGCAAGTGCTGTACACACCTGTTTTGACAAACTCTTCCACTGTCGACTCTTTCTTGTACGAAGACGTCCGGCACTCCTCGTAGAGGACAATGAGGGCATCCTGGAGAGCCTCCACACTGAAGCTGTTGGTGTTGTCAGCAGAGCTTCGGCTCTGTTTTCAGAGGGAGGAGAGAGGGAAGGAGGAAGGGAGGGAGGGAGGGAGGTGAGTAAGGCTAGGTTCACAATATGTCACATTGCCTCATCGCGCCGTCCCACATTGCCACGCCGTGAGGATAGAATCCATTTCTATCTTCGCGGCAGGACGCGACGGGGCAATGCATGCGAGCATGTCCTAGGTGTCCTGTGTGTAGTTGACTTGTTTGTTGTGCCTCTACCTCTCTACCCCACAGTTTACACACGTACAATAATGTGCATGCCTGCTGCATACATCGTCCACACCCAAATGACAAGTGAGACATGCGGACATGTGGGTGTATGAAACCTCACCAGGTTACAATATTTTTACAGAACACCTACATACGCAGAGCCATAGAAATAACAATGTCATCATGTGCATCATGTGCATCATGTAATACCGACACAAGGCGTATTATGTAATGCTGATGTAATGGCACATGTAAAATGCACAACACAATACTGCCCATGTAACTACATGTATAACACATGTTCTCATACATCAATACCAGTACTTCCACAATACATGCTTCTACAATATACCAGCCAAATAGACAATGAAACTTGCTAAGATCCCCAAAACAACAAACACTTCATATGCTTATACACACAAGATCTGCCGTATATATTATATATTATATATATATATAAAATCGATGCACTGTATTATATATATACATATTATATATGTAGACGGTATCAGGTATCCACTAGGGACTACTGAATACACTACAAGGAGGTCGTAGTCTATGAATAAACTCCCACATAGCGTTCTTGACACCAGCTAGACTAGCACTATCCCACACTCCCTAATCCCACTTGGTTTGATGCAGGCCTGTTTATCCCGTCATCACGGATATAATAAGATCCTTATCATCATACACTCCCTGTAATATTACCTAATCACGAATGGGGCTCTATACATCCCCACACTTCTCGTTCCCTCCTACCAATATTACCTCCTAATGAGGTTATTAACTGCACCCTCCCTGTAATATTACCACATTATGGGGCTACATTACACACTCTTACGTCACCATTTCCATATCCTTGCAAAGCAGCATATCCACCAAAAACATGATACTTGCATTAAATTTTCCGTTATTGCTATTACCTACAAGGCTGTTTATAAACGCTGTCTAATTACTTGCGTAAATGCATTAGCAGCCAGATAATAAGACACCCTTGATATTGTATAATCCGGCCGAGGCGTTTAAAAATTCTTGGAATTTCAAACTCTAGGGACATGGCCACCAACATGTGTTTGTGGGTTTCCGAACATACAGTGTCCATGGCTATTATCACACATTCCATCTAACAAGGCATGCAACATTAGCTTACCCACACTTGTAATTATACAAGCACACAAGTTTTGTTGCAAGTAAACATCATTTTGAATTCACAAAAACACACCTAGTACAGATTATGTACGTAAGCATGTACATGTTTAACATGCACTATACAAGAGAATGTAGATTTCTAACGTCTTCCAAACGACCCATTTACATTGTATATACATGTAAAATGGGAGGCAAAACGGTGTTTATGGACCTACAGAATGTACAGATATTACGGACCTACAGAATGTACAGGTATTACGGACCTACAGAATGTACAGGTATTACAGACCTACAGAATGTACAGGTATTATGGACCTACAGAATGTACAGGTATTATGGACCTACAGAATGTACAGATATTATGGACCTACAGAATGTACAGGTATTTATGGACCAGTGAGTGTATGCTCGTGTGTTGTAAATAGTGCAAAGATGAAAGGAGTAGCTAAGAACAAAGTAGTCTATAGGCAGCCAAGACCGGGGCGCTCTGCAAACGAACAACATGTGTATATACATTGGAACACCATCAGTGCAACACTAGCCACTGCAATTAACATTCCAACAAAAGTAATTACCCCGCAAACAGTACTCACACGTCATTACTTCATATACGGTTTACCTCACAAAAGTACATGTTTTTCGTATTCCGTTGTCTTTCCACTGACCCCTCCCTACCTCCGCCCCCTTCTCGTATTCCCATTGGTTACGATTTAGATGGAGTAAGAACCACAACATTCCCCCACCCCAGTAAATTACCCCGCAAACAGGCGCACGTACTCAAACGCCGCATTCAAAAGTTTGGCAGTCGAAAAATTCGCCTCATTCCTGCCCCAAAAATGGAGGTGGTCAATCAAAATAAGGTGGACAGCAGTGTGTAGGTATGGATATACCACTCCCTCTACGGTCCATCCAAAATTCTTCCCATTGTCCGACGTACATGCACATCAGTATTGACGTGTGCACCATTGTCCATTGAAATCTGGTAGGCTATTCAGAGCGGAGGATTCAGGGCATCTATAAAACCCGACTGAACAAAATAAACGTGCTCTAGCGAAACAGCCGGAGAACGAAAGAAAACTAGCCACCATTAGCGACCGAAGATGAAGGGAACAAGAGAGAGCGTTAGGGTAAGATGAGCCGGACAGGAGAATGCATTCCAATGCCATAATAGCAGGGAGGTGGCTGCACCCACACAACACAAACTTGTGTAGGCCCAACTATTCCCACTAATGAACTGAAAACTGATGAATCAACAGTAGCATGCACAGCACATGCATCAATTCTCCAGCAAACGTTTGCGCGAATACAACCTGATCTGCTGAAAGTATGAGCACCACATAGGTCTAGCTATGTATATACTAGTAAGATTCGGGGTGGCGAGTGGTTTTGCTGCTAGAAAAGAGCCGTCAATAGGATTTCATTCCAGGCCATTCGAGAGTGGACGAAATGTTGCACTTTCCGAGTGCACGGTTCTTTTCACGGCAACGCACGAGTCAATGGAAAGACTCAACACACTTTGTCCTTCACACACAACACACTGTGAACTAAACCTACTACACGACAGTGGCTAGTAGAGCAAGATCAAACGAACCACTAGCTAACAACGTGATCATCGCACACATAATCTACGTGCTGTTCTACGTATCTGGCTAAACTCTCGAGCGTAAAAGCTAGAAGCGGCCCCATGAACCACAGATCAGCCTGAGAGATACTAAACGAGCGCACACGACCCCGACAGCAGCATACAAGCCAAGCTACTAACTACCTACACGCCGAGACAAAGAGAGGCATTGCGGGTACAAATAGAGTCCTACGCACAGCTCACGACAAAACTCTATCACACGATCGTGCCCACACTCATGTCCAGAAGAGCCACAAACGAAGGTTATACCAACCAACCCTAGCTAGAAACCATGGGCGCGGTTTCTTCGCACCGCACCGACCGATCAGCGAAGATCCGACGCCTTACGTGAAACTGGCTCTCCATGAGGCAGATTCGGTCATCCACGTCTCTAGGGACGCCTGCCATTGTAGTCCGGCTTTCTTCCCTCCTCCAAGGCTTTCAAGACTGCGTAGAGCTGTCGATTGTGCGTGTGTCGGCACTGAAGCCGAATCGTCCGGATTGCAGTTCCGCCCTCTAGCGCATGCGCATTGCAATGCACTTTTGCCCCGCCGCGCAGCGACAGGGCCAGCACAGATAAAAGATTCTTATCATGAGACGTGCACCGCAAATGCCACCATTTTATACTTAGATATACGGCGAAGCGAAGTGATTTGACTTGTCATTGAAAATGGACGGCTTGCTTTTGGTGACAGTCACTATTGTTTTCATCTGCTCGGTGGTGTCGTCTTCTCGAATGAATGTGGAAGAGTAAGTTGATACTAGCTATAACACAGACATTACTCACAGTAGCTATTACTATCTACCGAATGTGGCACCCAGTCCTCGACACTGAGGAAAGATAATAGCTACCACAAAAACGGCGTGAAGCTTTCAACTTCATTTCTTGAGCTATATGTTAGCTTGTCTACACTGCAGGAATTGTGTTCGAATGGTGCAGAAATCTGGGAAAAAAAGCTACATTACCGCCGAGTATTCGTGTTATACTCACACAGCACCTTGTGGACCATCCTGCAACCCATTTTGTCAGTGTCAGAGGTACGTATAATTAACCCATGCATTACACTTCTGCCATACACATATTATAGAGCTCATGAGGAGATACAGTATGTGCAACGGTTTGTTACATACTACTTTATGGAGGCAGAGTGTTGCGATGGATACAAGGAGGTAATGGAAGGCGACCAAGTCAAATGCGAACGTAAGAGACACGTATTATTGTGCAGGTAACAATCATTAATGTGTAATCAACAGCTTGCAATACAAACTTTCATAATGCCTAGACAATAAGAGTATTGAAATGTTATTCAGCATATTCTGAGGTGTTCTTCCAATTACTGTTCACTAATGGAAACTTAGATGAATGCCTTAATTGGAAAGTAAGTTAACAGTTCACCGAGTTTTCAAAATACTAACACAGCGCACTGTAGTTGATTTTTGATAGCCACAAGGTAGCTGAAAGTTTTTCTAAGGGGTTGAGGAACACATTGAGCTCGATATGCTCCTGTGATGTACCATCGTCCAATGTTGCCGACATACAATTGCTGTGTATCAACCAACTACCACTAGTACACATATATCATGGGCGAATTGTTGCCACTAATGACAGAAATGCATCTCAGTTAGCAGGTGACATTCGAAGGGTTGCATTAGAAAGAAGAAGTATTTCAATACTTGGCGAGCAGTTTCAAGCACTGGACAACTGTACTTGCTGCAACATAATAGAAGAATCAGAGCTGGGCTCTAGGAATGCAGCTGAAATGTGTATCCGTGAAACCCACGGCAGTGAAACTTTGAACAGTGGAGAGAAGGCAGGTATAGCCATAGCCACCACTGTTTTCGCACTCTTTTCTATCATAGTGGCTATCGCTGTTGGGTGGAAGTGTAAAAGAAGACTTCGTAGGTGAGTTCCGAGCTGATCTTAGTTCTTCGATAGAATTGCTTCCTTTGCAGGGATAACTACGGACAAGTTGGACAAAATCGCGGCCAGGAAGGGCCAGGCCGGTAGTAATCTCAGTGCTGTTTACATAATTATGTGTCCCCTTTTTTTGCAAATGAAACCAGGAGTTCATGAAGGTTTGACCTTCATGCCCTTGTCTGTAGCACAAAATCTAGCCTTTTATAATTATATATACTCACCAACAAAATAAGTTTGTGTAAAGTGTATACCGAGACACTATATAATACTCTGCGGGGGCGTGATTTCGCACATGCGCACGTCCACTCTGACCCAGAAATACGTCAACGGGTTTGCCCATGTTTACATAGCATACGAGGTAGAAAGTCAAAAGCACAACAAACAAATTAACTACACCCAGGACAGCTTCAAGGAAAAAAGAAGAGCTGCCCTAGGTGGGATTCGAATCCACGACATTCTGTAGTCTATAGGCGTCATGTTGTACGTACTTTGTATTCTCTTGTGATTACGAACGTTGAAAATGACAATCCATTTTGGAATGAAAGGCACTGAAGTGCAAACCCTCGGCGAACTGCGCATGCGCGATACTGCTAATTGATGGGCTGGGCTATTGGTGTATGCGTGATCTCCCGCTAGTAGCTCGCGGAGAGTCTGACACGGGCTAGCTACAGTAGTAGATAGCATGCGGGAGTCGATACACGCCCTTCGTCGTGACTTCTTGTGCCTCCGAGGTACACAGATAAAGCGGATCAGGTCGAGGTAAAGCTAGTGCTAATTAGCAATTGGCTTGTTCACTTGGTTTTCACGCCATAACTTCTGAACGCGACACTTTTAGGATAATCGCTATTTTTAAAATCAAGCCAGTGTAGCACTGAACCAGTTGGTGTCGCTATTTTACCTGTTTGTTGCGCGTGGTGGCAGAAAACGTGGTAACAGACGGACAGACAGACGGACAAAACCAAGTACTGTAACCCTCGCTGCGCATGCGCGCCGAGGGTTAACAATAAGCTGTATATAGTCATTTTCAATCACTTGTGCTGTGTACAGCTACTATGTTCTTGAAAGAGTTGCTAGTCACTCTCTGCTACCTAAAGACCACAGGGCTAGCCTGTGTTGTTCGTGAGCACAATTCCAAGTGTCTCTCACTCAGAGTCATTCTGTTCTGTCTCACTGCTGGACTCACCATATTCGATGGGTACACTCACTGGAAAGTATGGCTGACTATCAGGGAAAGTGGACTTAGTCATCCACTGCTACGGATACCCAGCCAATGGACAGAGGCTTGGCTAGTGTTCACATGCATCGGTACAGGTTCAGCCTGTCTATACATCACTAATGAGCTATCGGGAGTTGTAGCTTTCTACAGGGAATACTCGGGCAAGACAAGAGCTGATCCCTGTCTACCTTGTAAGGCGGTGGGACTCAATTTCATCACTCGATCTGAGATTCTCACACTGTTGAATATCTCCTTGGAGGACCTGCCTCTGCTGGTTCTAAGTCTACTGTTTGCTGCAGCCCAGTACAGCTGTAACCATCCGACACCTTCGGAGAACCTTTCCATATTAAACGTTGTCTTTATCAGTTCATTGGCATCTCTACTGCATGTTGGATGGTGCGTGATACGGTTTCTGTTTTACTTGGTACTGAGAGCTTACGGTCAACGATGTGCAAGAACAAAGTCAACACGGCAGCCCACAACAACAACGACAAAGGAACTAGTAGCAGACTCTGAAGAAATGAGAAGGAAAATGAAGGAGAAAGAAGTGGAACTTGCAGAGTCGGAGAACGTGGATTCAAAGTTTCAAAAGCGACAGCTCTATGCTTTCAAATGCTGTAAGATGAAGTGTTGCGTTGTTTGCCACACCGTGATCCTGATGGTTGTATGCAGTCTCACTATAGTCATCAGTACAACGGCTATAGTACTGGCAAAGAACCAAGATTTTATCAAAGAAACCTTTTTCCTCGACCCAAACAAGCAGTTGAGCATCTATAGGACTTATCCCCAAGAGCAGATCGTCGTGAACGCATCGACCATCATTAACAACAAGGGCATTGGAGTTTGCCTGCAAGAAACGTTTACTAACCAGCCAATAACAAATGACAGTACAGTATCATGCAGCACTGTCTTTGTTTACAATGCAAATGAGGGTCAGATACACTATAACTATGATGGAGGAAACAAACACAATGTTTCTAACTGCAGTGGTACCGTGGATATCTGTGGTACAATACCTGAATCAGCAGAGCTATGCAAAGAGTTTTACAAGGAACTTTTCCTAGGCCATCACACAGAGGAAGGTGAAGTGAGAAGATTCAAAGACACATGTCTAGGTGTCCTCGTTTTGCCTGATAACGGAGCGCTGTTACAAAGACAAGAGACTCTGCCAGTGAACTGTGCCACACCCCTACCGATGACTTGAGGATCCGAAACAAATAGATTTATTATAGCTGGAGCCGTGCTAAAACACTAAAACGATGACAGTTAGTTGCTATGATCATTTTGTGTGGAGATTTGTTAGCTGGGACTGTCAGAATAATAATTATTACAAGAGCAGTGTGTGCTTAAGTGGTGAGTTGTGGTTGAAATGTTTTCCAGAATTGCCTAAGTGTTAGTGCCATTTCTTCGAAAGACGGTCTATCTCGGGGATTGTACTGCCAGCAAGCTCCCACTATCTCATATCTGAAAGACAAACATGAGTCGGTCATTAGAGCAGTGTAAATACGTCAATAAGCACAGCGCAGCAATGCATGGCAGCTACATAGAGTATAGCTACAGTTTGTTTTCGCTTTTACTATTCCGCTTCACTGCTCTGTTGAGTGGATATGCCATCCCTATATAGCTATAGGTAGAACCGCATGACTCTGTTTTTTCTCAACAGCTTTCAATTCATATTCTACATGCATTGCGACCTATATTATGTAGCTATGATTTGGGACTCAAATACACACATGACTCCAGATGCATTATATACTTGGAAGTGCAAGATAAGTAAACAAAAGGTGCTCACAGTTTGTCAGGACAGAGAGTTGGTTTTTTGAGTCTCCCTCCAGAGGAGATGTGCTGGAGTATCTCGTGATTCTCAATACCAGGATAGGGACTGCGACCCAGACTGAACATCTCCCAACATGTCACTCCATATGACCACTGGCATATTATGAGAAACATAGGGGAGTGAGAGAGAATGGGAGGATAGAATGGGAGAAACTTAGCACATGCATGGTTAGCCACATTTGAGGTGAATGAAAGGCAAAACAATCTTCAATTTGCCACATCCAGTGAATTGACATGCAACTACATACACTGTATATGCATGGCCGTAGATGCCTAAGATGGGGCACATTTGCAGGGGATATGGCTTGTCTGCGCTTGCTTTATGGTATACAATGTACTTAGTCTTGCATGCATATACACCAGGACATGCCATGATATTGGTAAACTATTGGCTCTCAGAATTAGTAACCCAGTGAAAATCCTAATAATAGTATCCTACCATATCGGTTCTCTCGTTACTGACACCATCTCTGAGAGATTCAGGAGGCATCCATTTGAGTGGGAGTCTCACTTCGCACTGTTTCTGGTCCCTACTGTACAGGTCCTCTGCCAGGCCAAAATCTCCTATCAGAATGGTCTTTGTGTCGCTGACCCTTTGTATGGAGAGAGAATGATCAACAACGAGTTCTCAAAAAAGGCAAAGGTAACAAAAAAAACACAACCACGTTGAGGACAACACATGACAAGAGTTGCCCAAAACTCTAATAAAAGCTGCTCTGGTGGGATTTGAACACATGACACTCTGCATTCTAGGGGAAGTGGAGTGTATTACCAACTGAGCTACCAGGGCAGCTCAGCAGGCAGGGCTGGCTCAAATCTACAACGTGAAAGAAGAAGGCAAACTTCAAAAACTGTGAGATATAAACAACACATGCTCCCAAGTTTTTGCATACACCAAGTTTGTGTACGGTCACAGGATTTATTCCGCTCAACGTCTAATGCACAACATAATACTCCCAAAAACATTCCCTCTACATACGTACATGCAATTTCTTGCTGCCAGGTCTCTGTGTACAAACTTCTGCTGAATGAGGTAAGTCATTCCATCCACCACATCCACACAGAACTGGAATAGAACCTCCAGCTCCAGCCCCTGCGTATGTACGGAGCCCATATTAGTGTGTGGTGAAGGATTCTAGCAACCTGAAACACTTGCAATAAGGAAGTGTGTGGATATTATAACCCCTTACATGTTTGCATTTAATTTCATATTGCCACATACATACATACTAATAGTAAACTCAGCAACTCTTTCTTAGAAGGAACACGTTATGAAAGTGCATGAATGCTTCTTTAAATATATGAGAGTTTCTATAATTTATTAATCTCAGGATGTTTATGCATGTTTAAGTAGTAAACGTGTTTCCCAACTCTTGAACTTTCAATACAGACACACACCCACACCGTGACATCAGTAAGAGAGTAATTCCTGTCAGTCAATACACCACCCACCTCTGGATATCCCCCAACAGAGCTGACTGGAGTGCTACTACTGGTCTTCTTCTTGAGGTAGTCAAGTAGACTTCCATTGGCCATGAACGGCAGGATGATGTAAGGATAGCCTTCTGGGGCATCGAAGCACATGCCAAGGAACTTCATGACGTTGGGATGGTCAAAGTCCCGCATTGCTCTGCTCTCTGTGAACAGCGTGTTTAGCTGTTGTTCAGAGGAGAAACCTAGAAAGAATTGTCAGCAGTTTATACCATGTTGTAAAACCCAGGCCTTCTTATTTGCACATATATTAAAAAATTGTACGTGGGTGACCTACCAATCAGCAACAAGGTTGCACATACATCTAGAAGAAAAAGTGGGATTGAAACCGTTGCACTATGATTTAGGACTTTATCTACTGAGCTACCAGGGCAGCTCAGCTGGCAAGACTCAAATCTATATACCAAAAAAGGCAAAGGCAAACTCCAGTAAATAATCACACGTGGGAACACATGTGGGAGAGACCTTGGTTTCAAGGCAACGCTGGAGAAGGCTGTAGTGAAGACTTACTTCTGAGTGTCTTGATAGCAACTCTCTTCTCAATCTTAGTTGACGGATCTTTCCACACTCCCTCACTCACTTTCCCATATGCACCTAACAGTACAAAATCCAAAAAAATTACCCACACAGAATAATAAACAGCATAACTACCAGTGTAAGTGATTCCATTTCTAAAAACCATGCAAGCATCTAAACAAGTTTACTCAAGCCTGGTTTTCCGGTGTTAGCTAACTAGCCCTTCGGTATGTAGCATTGCTAAAGGGTGTATACATAGTTGATGCCCCAAATAGCGTGTGGCATTCAGAGAGCAATAGATTGTCTTACCTTCTCCAATGAGGCTGTGCAGTTCAAGGTGTTGGTAAGGTATGAAGGAACCTGTGTAGAGCGAGACATAGTGCCTTCTCTTGCGGTCCGTTATCATTTTTGCCACTTGAACATCACTCCTTACGTTCACTTCTGTGATGATGTGGAAATTGAACTTAAAAAACTAGCAGCCATGTACAGCTAGCAAAACAACTCCTTTACAAACACTGTTTATATACATGTAGACACAAAAGGTCCTTTACTCCACGGGAGTATTTCCGGTACACTCTGTATGGAACTTACACTCCCAACTCTTATCCCTTCTGAAGTCTAATAAAGTAATGTTTTCCTGGGTGTGCTATTGGGTGGGCAGCGATAACCTGACTATAATAATGCAGCATAAGGTCAGCATATGTGCCAATAGATACAGTTGGCTTTTCTCCAAAGGTGAATTACACATGCAACTGCATGCATGTACGTATATCAAAGGACATAGGGGGAGCATATCTGCAGAGGACCTGTCTACCAAATTGCTTTATGGTACCACATCACAGGCAATTACATAAGTGATCACCCGTATAGTGTGAGTTTTGTTACCAAATTAATATTCAGTACGTTGGAACGCTATCTGTTGGTTACAAACCTAACCTTCAGAGGAAGGGAATCTCTCAATGGTGGCTGAAGGATTTGGTGAGTCCAGTCTCCTCAGGGTAGTCCTGAAAATACAGGCATGTTTAATAATCTGAGTGTTTAAACCTCCACGTTGCAACTATTAAACATGGCTAGCTAGAAGTACAACTTGTTTGACTTACACATTGTTTGGCTGCTGGCTGCAGGCTACTCGTGATTTGCTGTTTCTTCTCTTTCTCCGCAGACACACAACGACAACGCAGAGTATCAGTAACAGTAGAGAAATGAGACAGATGGCGGCACCCACTATCAGACACAGTACAACGATCTCTGGCAGCTCTAAATGTGGAGGGATGGAGGGGAAGGAAGGCAGAGAAGGATACTTTGGGACCATGAAACACCTCACAGCTCGACACTCTGCAATACCATATGCTTACTAAAACACTTACTGTTGAAGACTTGTCCAGTCGAAGTCACTGCAAACAGAGAATATTTCCAGAATAAAAACATGCTCTGTTTTCCGCCAGTTTTAATATACTGAGCCAGTATGATTCAATACTTACAGTAGAGAGCTGTGCATCCATTCTGGTTCACGGGGAGTCGAGTGAGCTTAAAACTGTCGGGATCGGAGCAGTTTAGTTCTTCGACAAACACCAGTAGCTCAGTCAGGAGGGTATCCACATCACCACTGATATTACCAAGTACAGCTTCATAGCTGAGGTAACACTCGGTCATTAGTTTGGACAATTCCATACACTGTTGGGAGCAGACTGGTAGCTGTGAGTGTGCGTCTGTAAGGAAGTGGAAGAGGGAAATTAGGTGTTTCATAAGCACAATGGAATTGTGGGGCCTCTGCTAATACCTGGAGGATGGGAAAAGCCACAAAACATCCTTAAATCTCCCTAAAATGTTCAAGGAATGTTGGCATAGGAGTGTTAATACATAATTATAGCTACACAGTATGTACAGCACTGCCCATAAGGACTATGATTTAGCTCCATGCAACAAAATACGTAAGTATTATACACATTAGTTTAAAAGTCGAAAAACTATCATACGTGCACACAGACTAATGTAGCTAAGCCTCTCTTTCCAAACACCCAATCAATACACTCTTAAGCGCACAACACGCCTGATGGGCATACCGGACATACTCTAACAGAGCAAAGCAGAACCACTCAATTACAGTGTTGGCCAGCTCCAGTAACACACCTCTGGCAGAGTGGCAGGGAGGGTAGCTGTAATAGCATTCCCAGGCAGTCACAACACTCCTACAAGTCTCATTGACTTTGCCTGCGTCCAGATGGGGTGACAGTACAAGTGCGTCGGTCGGTAAAGAGGTGGTGTTGGCAAAGACTTGTACATTTCTTTGAAAGACGTTGGCACACTGTGATAGTTTCTGGTTTAGTTGGCTACATCTGGGTGTAGAGGGAGTAGGAAGGGAGAGAGGTAGGGAGAGAGGAGACAGGGAGGTTCATTAGTGGCTGAGGGAAAATGAACACACCCATTGTAGGCAGGTCATGCATGCATATTATACATCCTAAACATGTGTCCAACACCCATATAATTATACGCTAGGTATCCCCTTGGGACAGATCAGCTGCCCTAGTGAGGCAAAAATATCAACAAGATTATGGGATTGACAACTGACACTAGATATGCCTCTGCCCTGCGGGAAGCTATAAATAGCATAGTTTCACTGTCAAGCTCCCTGTTCCTCCATAACATGATTGTGATGCACCAGAAACTGTGTCTCTCCCTTCCTCTCCTTCATAGCGAGAATACTACTTTAAGCTCCCAAACAAGCTACCAGCAGGTATAAGAACAAAAAGAAGGTTGTCTATGGTAATACTCAATTTGCACTTCTGTTTGAAAATACAAGAGGAGCGAAAACAGGCAAAAGTTAGCACTGGCAAGAGGCATAATTTTCTATGCACACCTACACATGTATTCTCTAAAAGAATGGTGCATATATATGCTGGGAAAAGTAGTGTGTGTGCTTGCAGTCATGCAAGGTGGGTCAAAGAAGGGTTGTACTAGGTCTAGAAAACAGAGGCCACACATCTCTTATACACAGCTGTGACAGCAGGTAATTGATAGTCACCCCCTTGACCTCCCAGACTTACTGAGTGTTGCCTTCCCTGGTGCTAGGCTGGTCACCAGAACCACTGACAGTAGCACCAGCTGTAAGAGAGTGGGGCACGAGTGAAGTGAGTAAATATTGTAACCACAGAGCTTTAGTAAAGGAACAAACATTGAGTGTACCACACACATGAGTAAAAAGTGAGAATATTGGGCATCCAACAGTTGGTCAATCTAGACCACATCTATCACCAGTGAGAAGCAGTGTAGTATCTGCTAATGTCATTATGTAGGCAGCACCAGAAGCTCAAAAGGCTGGACCACTTTACTAGCTATGGTGCCCGACACATTGGTGACACTTTGCGTAGTGTTGTACTCGAGGTGTTTGTAAAGAGCCTGAAAATTTACCCACGTTGTAGGCATACGTTGGTCCTTATTGACACACTGAGATGATTGTAAGCCCACTATACTGGTTGTTGCTACTCTACCATCAGCACATTCTGTACTGGACTCAGTGATAAAATAGCTCTAGCTATAGGGCTAGAGTCTGGCGAAGCATTACAAGCCTTGCGAAAAACAGTGCATTTTACCGCGACTACACCAGCTAACAGAGCTATACACTTAGCTATACAGTTAGAAGGACGCCACTATGAACCCAGTAGCTAGCTAGAGATCGTAGCCCGATCTTTCTTACCGAAGGCTTGGTGAACCAGAAGTACCAGGAGAACGTGCGGTGACTTGAGTGTTTGCCTCATCCTCCTCCACGGCGCTTTAGCTGCAGATACTACTGCTCTATTGACTTCACTACTGCCCTATTGGCTACTGCAAAAAAGCGAGGGCGTGGCAGTGTGTATTGCGGTGTGGAATGTACTTCGTGCCAAACTTGGTCAGACAAATGTGCTTTAGATTTGGAATGCATAGTGAGAAGTAAAGCATACTGCAGTCAATCATGGGTGTATGGAATAACTACAAAAAACGTAAAGCGTGCTACAGTGAAGCATAGTTACAGAAAAACCACGCAAACCACGCAAACCACTACACATCTTGGGGCCGGCTCCGAGCCCCACCCTGGGTTACCCAGAGCTATCTACGTGTGCGCATGCGCATAATTAATTATCGTCGGCGCATGCGTACTTTATTACTGTGGTGACACAAAGGCAACTCAACTTCAGTTGGAAAACATTTTTTCTGTTTTGCACAAGATGAAAACCATTATTGCATGGTGTAAGTTACTGTTCATTATACTCAAGTTTTGTCAGTCTGCGGAGAGTCGAGCAGGAGGGGAAAGAGGATCTGGGGATGATTCTAGTAAGTTCAGGTGTTTTGAGTAGTATGCCAGCCACCAGCAGGTGTAAGCATTACATCGGTTTTGTACTGTTGCAATTTTGCATCAGAACCTTGTTTCATACTAGACCGTATTTGAAGTGGGTGATCTGTTTTTTTCTTATCGTATACATTATGTAGGTGTACAGTATCATGGTGTTCGTCTGGTAGGAGGTTCCTACCAGTGGGAAGGTAGAGTGGAAGTCTACATGTCTGGAGAATGGGGTACCATCACTGACTCTGACTGGACTGATGATGATGCCAGAGTTGTCTGCTGGGAACTTGGTTATCGTAAACCAGGTGGCTATATATACAGACAGTATTAGAATGTGAAGCACAAAGTATGCTAATTGCAAAAGTGTCCTGTGAACATGAACGGAATAAGGAAACGAAGCAAGTAAAGTAAATTCCTGCACACTTCGACTGCATACGTTGGCCAGCAGAGTGGCGATTCGAGCAGCACAATAATATTTGATGAAACTACCCTTACATACGCTTGCATGCTAATACAAATACTGATTATAAGAGATAATGGGACACAGAATCATTTGTGTGGTTTATACTAAGGGAGCTGAGCTCTAGATGGCATCACAATCTTTTCATTGAGTCTGTTGTAGTGGTCTTTAGTGCACCAAATATTATAGTGATGGGTTGGTTTGTTCTAAAACTCACTAACTTGGATACCCATGTGTCTGGATGCAAACTAGCCAGAAACAATCGCTGTCGTGTTATATATGTGCCACATAATTATTATATCTCCTTCTTCCCCTTATTTTTCATGATTTTCCATCTTTGCAATTTTATATTTTGTGTGTTCTATCCCACTCCAAAGCTAAGTAATCAAATCTCATTTTCCTGCTGCATCTGCATGGCCACGTGGAATATACCTTAACTGCAGAGCAAAATACTATGATTATTACCCTTGACCTCACACTGCTTTGATCCTGAATCCAGCCACAACAAATCACGGTCATGTGTCTTTTCGTGATTAATTTTTTCATCTCTACATCCCATCAACTTTGTGTGCTCTGTGCTCTATATATCCAACTCCAAGTGGGAAACAACAACAGTTTATCTTTGATAGTGAAACATTTGCTTGAAGAGTGTGCCCAACACAACTAAAGCATCAAATCTGATGTATTTACAGTATTTCTTCTACATTGGCTAGGTGGATTTAGAGTAAATATTTTTTATTACCCTCCTCACTGCTAGACCTCACGCTGCTTGCTAATAATATGTTTCAACTGTCTAGAATAAAAAGGAATAGTACCATTTTTGTCCCAAAGTCCTTGCATAATATGTGTGGGTTATGGTATATAGTGCTCCAGGTTTTTGTACTTCAGTGCTTTCTTTAGGAGCTGTAATAGCACTTTCAAGTGCATATTTTGGTGAAGGGAGTGGATCTACTCACATCAATTTCATCAAGTGTTCTAGCTCAGACAAAACTCTAACAAAGTGTGTGACAAAGTCGAATGGAAAGAGCAATCACTCTCTTGATGCTGGAGTCAAATGCCAGCCCGGTAGGTACATTTTCCTTTTGTTGAGTTCATAATAGTGTTTTTCTCAGCTGAAGGATCGTACAGAGAGGGTGACATTCGTCTGGTGGGAGGACCTCACAACTGGGAGGGTAGAGTGGAGATATTCTGGAATGGAACATGGGGAACCATCAGTGACTCTCAGTGGACCAATGAGGATGCTTCTGTCATACGTAGACAGTTGCAACACATGTTACCTGGATATGGTAAATTTAAGTGGAGTGGGGATGTATGTCATAATAAGGGAACAATAAGATGCCTACACTGACATAAAATCTTTCTTACGGTAGTACCTTAGTACACAATATTAAGAAAGACAAGATAGGGTTGGAATATGAAGCATGGCGACCAAGTCAAAAGAAAAAGGCCTACCAAACAATGTGGCAGCTAAAGTGATCATACAGACAGACCGAGCCCTTCAGCATGTAGCTATTATATCAATCTATTAAAGGCAGAAGTCATTGGAGGCTTATTGTATGCAGATCATGTGAGAGTTTATCTGTGCCATCCCTTCATAAAGATTGATGATGCATTTTTAAGTGTGTTTGCTTTAATTAAAGCCATGCCCTGCTGTGATGATGAGAGTGGAGATAACTCTAGCAGTCAAATAGCACCTCATTTTGGCAGTGTAATCTGCACTGGGAAAGAGAACAATATCACTGAATGCAGTTACAGTACCCAAAATATATCTGCTCAGCAAGACATAGGTGTCCACTGCCAGCAAGGTGAGTTAGAACTAGATAAGCAATTCCTGAAGTGTAGTTTCAAAAAATCTGCAGGTAACCAAGCAAGAGAAGGTGAAATTCGATTAGTCGAAGGTGACTCCCCATGGGAGGGTCGAGTTGAGATTCACCTATCTCGTGAATGGGGCACAATATCTGATGCAGAATATTATGATTCTCGAGAGGCTACAGTAGTTTGTCGACAGCTTGGCTACAATTTTTACAGTAGGAGGTTCAAAAAACTATTTCATTATTAAAAGTTATATGTCAAATAGATGCACGTTCTTACTGCTGTGCAAGGTTTGGAGAAGGGAGTGGTCAGATAAAGAGTCGTTACATCTCATGCAAAGGAATTGAACACAGGATTACAAACTGTTCATACAACACACATTTGCATCAGGAGGACCACTCAGATGACTGGAGTGTCTCATGTGACATAGGTATATAGAGCTTGAAACTATTAAGCCAGGTCTACTGACCATCCTGAAAGGCTTAGCATGTAGCTAATGTCTACTACTTCGTTGTTAATTTCAGGTGACTGTGAAAGTGGACGCATCAGACTGGCAGGTGGAGATACAGAGAGAGAAGGAAGAGTTGAGATATGTATTAACGGAGAGTGGGGCACAGTCTGTGGGAAACTCTGGATGAAAAACAACACAAATGTTGTGTGTAGATATCTTGGATTCAGTGACACGTATGATTGTGAGGTGGTTTAATGGGGAGGAACTGTTGTAAAACATTACTTTTTTATTTACAGATTCTGTTTCTGCTTTATCTGGAAAATTTGGACCTGGATATGGGCCTATACTCACAAACTATACAAACTGCACTGGATCAGAACCAACATTATGGAGAAGTTGCGGTAGTTTGAGCAACAGCAGCAGGATTGAGTGCTCTCATGAGGAAGATATAGGAGTTATATGTCAGCCAGGTGCCAGTAATATAAAATATCTACGAACATGTCACTGATGGTTGTGCATTACATTGCAGCTCCCTGCCATGACAATCAGGTCAAACTCGTGGGTAGTCCGGAATATAATACACGTTTAGAGATCTGCTTAATCAGAGATGGGAAACACTATCATTTCTCCAATGGACTGATTATAATACAGATGTTGTGTGCAATGAGCTTGGTAAACACCTGGTTATTAAACACTGTAATGATAATTACCATGATTTATTCCATAGGATATATGTATGGTTATGAAACCATAGTTAGCAGTGGAGGAGGTCCTAGACATTCAAGATACTTCCAATGTGAATATCCAACTCAACACCTCTCAGACTGTGCCAATCGAACTGACACATCTCATAGATCACAGAGTCCTGATGTGGGCATAAATTGTTATAGAGGTAGGTAGCCATGTGAAAGATATGATAGAAAAAGGCAGTCATTATTTCATAGGGTACTGTTATGATGGTGATATGAGACTTGTAGACGGTGAAACAAACTGGGAAGGGAGACTTGAGATGTGCCAGGATGGAAGATGGGGGACTATAGCTGCAGAGAGTGAAACATGGGGAGAAACAAACTATCGATTTGCCTGTAATGCTCTTGGCTTTCAATATAATGGTAAGGTAGGTTTTTTTAATACACAAACAAATTATCCTTTATCAACACAGGTACAAGAGTTAATTCATCCATACCACATTCTTTGTCAAAGCCAGTTTTCCTGAGCAATGTCAAGTGCCAGAACACAACACTATCACTGTTACAGTGTGGATATAGTACACCTCAAATTATCAATACAATTGAAGATGTTCGAATACACTGCGAAGAAGGTATAGTTAAAGCGCACAATGCTGCAACAATTATAATGCAATAATCATTATCAAGCATTATGCAAGGATGGACAGATTCGTCTAGTTGGCGGTGGTGGTCATGCCAAAGGACAACTTCAATACGGTTTCAGTCATAGGTGGACTGCAGTCAAGGGAGATGGATGGGGACTATACAAGACACTATAGTAGCCTGCAGACAGCTCAACTACACTCATTCAGGTCTTTAAACGTATTACCCTTGATAGTCTTTTCTTTTTTGGAGTGTATGTAGTATGAAACTCTGTTATGCATACAGATGATCCAACTTTTGAGGTGAAGGAAGAATCGTTGTCACTTCCAGTGAAGTATCAAAACTTTGGATGCTTTGGATATGAGAATTTCTTCCTGTGCCAAGAAAGACTATACTAACTTTTACTACTTTTATGATTCCGAAGTAGCAGATAAATTTGTTATAATTGGCTGCAGTGTTGCCCCAGAAAGCAGTGAGACTACTGAGGATAGCTATGGGAGTCAGGAAGACAGTTTTGACACAGCTGATGCAAGTTCTTTAGCAATAGCCCTGTTTAGTACATTTAGTATTCTGATACTAATTGGAGTGCTGGTTTCAGCATACATTGTCATAAAAAGGAAGCAGAGAAATGAAAAGTAATGGATTCACTTTTCATCAACATTACCTATTAAAACTTTTTCCTCTTTCTAGTTCAGTTGTTGTGATTGGCGATAATGTCAGCTATGTGATATCTGGGGCTTCTATTAAGCCAGTCAAGGAGACACCATACTATTCTTCAGTACTACTAGGTCTGCCCAGGCCGAACTTGGTACGCTCCATTCAGCAGCCACTGCCTGTAACACCCCTTGAGTTTGGAGGCGCCGGAAATGAAGGCGATGGGCACATCTGCGACAACTTGGGTGAGCAACAAACGGAGCTCCATGACGAAGTGGGCGAGGAACAAATGGATGGTGAAAGTGCCGAAGAGAAAAATGCTGAAAATGATGGATCTGGTGATGATACTGACGAAACTGAAGACAAGAATTAGCGAAACAATGATATTTCTGAAATGTGGATAGCTTCATAGTAACTTCATTAATTCTTAGAGCTAAAGTAGTATTTCTAGTGTAGAGCAATACACAGTGATTGAGTGTTACACAAGGAATGATTATTGGCTGGCTGAATTGTGACATTGGACACTGCTAAAAAGTCTCTTGAATCCTGTTATGCCCACAGATACCCCTAACCCTCAATGATCGTGCTGCTGCTGCGCGTATATCGACCTCAACGATTGCACTACGGCGCAAAGGATAATGAGTACAGAAGCAACAACTGTAGTTAGCTTGCATTAGCTAAGTACCTAATGACAAAGTATATAAGGAATTTTTACGGCATGCAGTTATCATTACATCACTGTCAAAGTCAGTCCATAGTGCTGTTGTTCTCAATCAGTCGGGACACTCGTAAATGTCCTCCTCCGCGGGAGGTCGCTGGCGTCCCCTCCTCGGTAGGACGTGGGGGAGAGTCTTTGGACCAGCGTCAGCTCGGGAGTTGCCACCACTTTGTGCATAGCGACTCAAATCCACCTTCTGAGGCGACATGGTGCTCACATTGTCGGTCGGAGCTTGTCTCAGCTGCGATCTTGGCGGAAGTGGAACAGGGTTTGTGGCTTTCATTTGTTCGAAACTCTCGGTTGGGAGGTCTTCTCCCGCCAGCTTGTTGTCCAGAGAGACTGTCTCGTTTTTGTTACTAAAATGAATCCCAGAAGAGCTGTATAGTGAAAACAGACTGTACCTAATTCAGGCACAACAGTATTTTCATTGAGTGTTTACGTCTGTCTATTATAGGGAAATTGGCAGTATAAAAGAGCAAGGAAATATTATTTTAAGTGATAACCTAATATTCTCGTACTGGGCCCTAAATTTAGAGTCATAAACTACAAGTGGACAGCATTCTCTGTTATGTGTTTGCAGCTATATTGGCTCCTTCACTTTTACCTTTTACCCCACAAGCAGTGATAGTTTAGCTATAGAATAACCGACCTTCCTCTGCTCTTTTTCCTTAGCCAGACCACAATCAGAACTGCGACAAGAGCAATCACCACCACGGCAAGTAGAGCAGACACTGACAGACTTGCATATACCATACCACTGGAGCTTTCGCTGCTCCCACCAGTTCCATCATCATTGGTATCAGTTGGACTGCCCATGGTACCAGTACCATTGTCTTTCCTATCACAGCTGATACTGATATCCATGGAGGAGATAGTACTGGAAGAAGACTCAAACTCGTGATAGGAACAGTCGGTTAGTTGATCTTCTGAGCCGTAGCAGCCTACCAGCGTCATGAACGTTGGTAGAGACCTGCTGGATAGGGATCTGGTCCTCAGGTGTTTTGTGTACGAGACATCTGTGTAGTTTTAAAGACGTCCCATGAGACCAGACAAACACAACAGAACAGAAGGCTCCAAGCCCTAAATAATGGTCAAATGCTAACTTAGGTCTATAAAAGATGCTTTGAACACTCAGCAAAAGTTTCGTTCCAACTATACTGAAGTGCAAACCCTCGGCGAACTGCGCTTGAGTGATACCTCTGGGCTGTTGTATGTGTTTACTCGTGGTCGTTGCTCGGACGGTCAACTGAGAATAACTGATTTATATACTGACTTCTATGGACGTGTTGAAATCTGCTCAAATCAGAGATTTGAAACATTTTTACCCTCGGCGCGCATGCGCAGCGAGGGTACTGTAGTTAACCCTCGGCGCGCATGCGCAGCGAGGGTTACAGTACTTGGGTCTGTCTGTGTGTGTGTCTGTCTGTTACTCTCAATCTCACTTCTCGGGTGTTTGTTCGTCTCACAAAGGATACGACCTACTTAACGGGCAATGAAGGTCAGAAATTTCGAACGGTTTTCTCTGAAACTGCTCCGTTGCAAAGCTAGAGCGCGAAAAAGCCAATATGCAAATACACGATCCGCGTGCTCTGCGTACTTCGGAGGCACCAGAAGATGCAACGCAGGGCGTGTATCGCCTCTCGCATGCTATCTAGTAGTGTAGTTAGCCCGCGTCAGACTCTGCGCGAGCTGGCAAGAGACCAGTAACCCAGCCCATCAATTAGTGGTACGGCGCATGCGTTTACTTACGCGTGCGCGTCACAGTGCGCCGAGGGTTTGCACGTATATACTTCAGTGCTTTTCATTAACCCTCGGCGCGCATGCGCAGCGAGGGTTACAGTACTTGGGTCTGTCTGTGTGTGTGTCTGTCTGTTACTCTCAATCTCACTTCTCGAATGTCTGTTCGTCTCACAAACGATACGACCTACTTAACGGGCAATGAAGGTCAGAAATTTTGAACGGTTTTCTCTGAAAATGCTCCGTTGCAAAGCTAGAGCGCTTCCACATTGTATGGCTAATGCCGGTAGTCGCCATTTTATCGCTGGCGGATAATGCGCATGCGCTTATATTTAGCAAAGGACCGGGTCCGCTTGCTCCTTCTATCTTGAAGGCACAAGAAGTCACAACGAATGGCGTGTATCGACTCTCGCGTGCTATCTACTACTGTAGCTGGCCCGTGTCAGACTCTCTGCAAGCTACTTCGCACTTTAGTGCTTTTCATTGGGTTTGTCTGTCTGTCTGTCTGTTACTCTCAATCTCACTTCTCGAATGTCTGTTCGTCTCACAAACGATACAACCTACTTAACCGGCAATGAAGGTCAGAAATTTCGAACGGTTTTCTCTGAAAATGCTCCGTTGCTAAGCTAGAGCGCTTCCAGCATTGTATGGCAAATGCCTGTAGTCGCCATTTTATCGCTGGCGGCCTAATGCGCATGCGCTTATATTTAGCACAGGACCGGGTCCGCTTGCTCTGTCTATCTTGAAGGCACAAGAAGTCACAACGAGTGTCGTGTATCGACTATCGCGTGCTATCTACAACTGTAGCTAGCCCGCGTCAGACTCTCTAGAGCGCGAAAAAGCCAATATGCAAATACACAACGGACGGGACGGCTTACCGCGGTCTGATCGATTCGTGTGCTCTGCGTACCTCGGAGGCACCAGAAGATGCAACGCAGGGCGTGTATCGCCTCTCGCATGCTATCTAGTAGTGTAGTTAGCCCGTGTCAGACTCTACGCGAGCTGGGAGAGTGACAGCTAAAACTAAACCCAGCCCATCAATTAGTGGTACTGCGCATGCGTTTACTTACGCGTGCGCGTCACAGTGCGCCGAGGGTTTGCACTTCAGTGCTTTTCATTAACCCTCGGCGCGCATGCGCAGCGAGGGTTAACAGTACTTGGGTCTGTCTGTGTGTGTGTGTGTCTGTCTGTTACTCTCAATCTAACTTCTCGGGTGTTTGTTCGTCTCACAAAGGATACGACCTACTTAACGGGCAATGAAGGTCAGAACTTTCGAACGGGTTTCGCTGAAACTGCTCCGTTGCAAAGCTAGACCGCGAAAAAGCCAATATGCAAATACACAACGGACGGGACGGCTTACCAGGGTCTGAACGATCCGCGTGCTCTGCGTACCTCGGAGGCACCAGAAGATGCAACGCAGGGCGTGTATCGCCTCTCGCATGCTATCTAGTAGTGTGGTTAGCCCGCGTCAGACTCTGCGCGAGCTGGGAAGAGACCACGACAGCTAAAACTAAACCCAGCCCATCAATATTAGTGGTACGGCGCATGCGTTTACTTACGCGTGCGCGTCACAGTGCGCCGAGGGTTTGCACTTCAGTGCTTTTCATTGGGTTTGTCTGTGTGTCTGTCTGTCTGTCTGTCTGTTACTCTCAATCTCACTTCTCGGGTGTTTGTTCGTCTCACAAAGGATACCACCTACCGAACGGGCAATGAAGGGCAGAAATTTCGAACAGTTTTCTCTGAAACTGCTCCGTTGCAAAGCTAGAGCGCGAAAAAGCCAATATGCAAATACACAACGGACGGGATGGCTACCACAGTCGAATCGATCCGCGTGCTCTGCGTACTTCGGAGGCACCAGAAGATACAACGCAGGGCGTGTATCGCCTCTGGCATACTATCTAGTAGTGTAGTTAGCCCGCGTTAGACTCTGCGTGAGCTGGCAAGAGACCAGCTAAAACTAAACCCAGCTCAATTAGTGGTACGGCGCATGCGTTTACTTACGCGTGCGCGTCACAGTACGCCGAGGGTTTGCACTTCAGTGCTTTTCATTTGCATATTGGCTTGTTCACTTGGTTCACGCCATAACTTTTGATTGCAGTGTTTTTACGAAAATCAAGCGAATGTAGCGCCGAACCCGTTGGCGTAGAGTTTTGGCGATCTTGTTGCATCTAGTGGCAGAAACCGTGAACGGACACACAGACACACTGACCAAGCACCGTAACTCCCGCTGCGCATGCGCGCCGAGGGTTAATTATATTCGGATGCAAATAAACATCTAAAGTAAATATTCCAATTCCTGTCTCGTAACTAACTAGAGTGTGCTTACTGCAAAACAGAACTGTGCTGTAGTTGATACCTTCAGTGGAGTGTCCAAGTTGTCTACAGGCAACTTGAGTGTCAGTGTGTGTCCATCCATGTCCATCTATGGTTCCCCATCTCTTCCCAAAACAGACCTCAAGTCTTCCTTCACTCTCTGTAGCTCCTCCAACCAGTTTTAGATCTCCGTCTTTGCATTGAGCTATAATTATTAGTATTACACAGTAGGTTGGATGTAATATACTGGAGAAATACAATGAGTTGCAGACTTACACTCTCGGCACTTGACAACTGTATGAGGGTACGTCTTTGTTAAGTCCGTGTATCTCGTAAATCCACACTCTTCCAGTGACAGGTCCCGACGTGAGCATTTGACACTGTGATAGTACAATGGTTTTGACGGGGCCGTTGGTATGGAAAGGTTAGTTGACTCATCTGTTTGTAAACGATCGAGACATTAACACAACACAGAAGAAAAATGAGCAGCTCGTACTAGAAAGGTCATATCCAAGAGAGTTGCAAACAACACGAGAGTTAGTCTCAGTCCATTCGTCACCGCCAACATTTCCCCATCTCCTATTGTAGCAGACTTCCAGTCTTCCTTCTAATTGATCTTCTCCTTCAATTAGCCTTATCTGACCATTAACACAGTTATCTATGTCACAATTGAAGTTAATGAATGTTTAGAGCATTATTCATCACCTACCTCGATGGCAATACACCCCAATATCAGAACTGTATGATCTTGTATATGTGTAGTTATAGCTTTGACACTGAGAGAGTCTAAGTACTGACCCAGCACAGCTAAAGTACTTTGAATGTCTTGGTCCTCCACTGTTCCCATATGACTGAAAAGCATAGCTAGCATCTGCATAAAATGATAAACAAGGGAGGCACGTACTCTGCATGTGCATTCTAGCAGCTTCTATTCAGTGGATTGTGTGCATTATTACAAAGTTACAGCTCTCTTTTCTTGGCTGTGTCTGAAAATGGCCAATCCAAGATCATTGGTTTTGTGTAAGCTACATTAATACACACGAATAATGGCTCATTAAACTAAAGTTATGTTATTAAATATCAAAGAGTTTTTACATTGAAAGCCTAGCTCAATGCAAGCGATCCTTGCATTGGAATAGGACCACTGGGCGTTCGACAGTGTGTTCCATCTCTGATCGGAGCAGATCTCAACACGTCCATAATATGCAACTGATCCCTCAGCTAGTCTCAGCTGCCCATCAGAACAGCGGGCTAATGGAAAACAAAATATTATGAATACCTCCGCCCCAGAGTAATTAAGAAAGTCATTCATATAACTGCAAGCTAAGGTGTGTAGTGGTGTACCTTATTTGTCCCCTGAAAAGGTAAGACAGAACCTTTGTTATAATCCCATACATGTGTACTCAGATGCCATATAGCATATAACTGCTTGCACTTTCTCTTCGTCTACTAGCCACAATTCAAACATGAAAAGCACTTGAAAGTGCATAACCCTCGCCACTTTATACAGCCAATGGCTACTAGCTACACTACGTCAGTTTTTGCCACATGCGAGTTCAATACTAGTTACTACTATATACAGCAAAGTGAAAAACACTGGTCTTGACAACCCTCAACACTATTCACTATAGCTCTAGCTACCTCGTGGCTCCTTCACTGAACGGATTCACTGGGGCGTGTGCTGCTCTCACTTCACCGGAAATCTCAACTGTACCATCAATACAGCCCAGCAAATCTTCTCCACACACGCAAAGCATCTAGCATCTAGGTATATACGATGGTTCGCGATCTCTATTTGCCGCACACCCACCTCGGCAGCCGTCCGTTTCACCAGCTTCCCCGGGCTTCTCCGCTCCAGAATCTTATTTTACCATGCATTCCTCCTAGTTGAAAATATGTCCACGTTTCACGCTCAGAGTTGCCGCGCCGGTTACCGAGAAAAACGGAGGACAGACGGACGGCGGACGGACGGACACACGCACACACGCACGCACACACACACACACACACACAGAGACCGACTGCTGCAATAACCCTCGCTGCGCATGCGCGCAGGCGATGGTTAATCCATTACCTGGTGCACATTGTACTCCAATATCGTCATCATGTGAACATCCATAGTAGTGGGTCCAGTAAGTACAGCTACCCCATAGATTCCATTCATCACCAGTGCAGTTGACAAAGTCCATGAACACAGGCCCACTGCCTTTACCATACTTCTCAGGAGAATAGTAGGTTAGATCTAAAAGCAGTAGAAAAAGCAGATAAAACCAATTTCAAGTATGACGGTCTAACAAACTAAATTTGGTATAATTATAGCGGGAACCCTCTGACAGGGATTGTATGTCCCACAATGAAAAGTAGCTACCCTTCGACCAAGTTTCACAGAGTAAAAAGAACCCTCAATGACTAAATTCACGAAAGGTTTCCATTAAGTTTCCCATTAACTCACCAGTGGGGAGGTCACTGAATCCGAGATACCTACAGACCACTGCTGTGTGTCTGTTTGTCCATTGAGTCCCACATACACTTCCCCATCTCCTATTATTGCACACCTCAAGCCTCCCTTCTCCCTCTGACTCTCCTCCTATTAGTCTGATTTCTCCAGTTGAACAGCCATCTGTAAGGCACATAAATTTTCTATGCTGCCTAAATTGACCAATTTGCCATTCAACACTGTGTTCACTAAAACATAATGACCGTGTACACTTAATTTGCACAATTAAACCAGCTAATGACTGGGATATACTCACAATATGCACAGTCTGTTCTCGGTATGTCGTCTATCACGGCAACATGGACATCATAGTAGCAATCACTCAGCTGATATTCATTACCACTGCACACCACATTGTCCATAGTTTCTACAATTCTGCCGATTGAATAGTGGTTATAAGAAATTGGCACAGTACCTGTAGAAATAGTTATTGCATATCATTTGCAATGGTTAGTGGTAAAATCTTTTAACCATTGTAGCCGAGTTGTCTGCACACTACTTCAGAGTTATCCATTCCCCATGTCCCCCAGCTGTCAGCAATGGGCACCCAGACACCAGACAAGAAGACTTGGGCATATCCATAACGTATATAGCTCAACAGGACCTCAAGAGGTTGTGGTCCATCTAGATAATGGGCGGTTTCCTTCATTTTTGGATTTGGTTATTATAAGATGAATGCACTGACCTATGTAGCAGTATACACCCCAGTCCTCATAGTGCCCACAAGACGCTGTTTGATTCACACAGTCATTCAGTCTGTATTCAGAGCCAGTGCAGACAAGATATTCAAAGTGAATTGGACCAGTTCCTTGTCCATAATTAGCACAACAACGAGAAGATGAACCTAGAATGAAAGATAGCCTCAGTTTAGATCAATTACCAAAGTATCTACCCATCAAAGACTACAAACTAGATGTCACCACTACTATTACATTGTATCCCAGTTGACGACAGACAACTCGAGCATCATTGCTACCAGCTCCATCATCACAAACAGTGCCCCATTCACCAGACAGGAATATTTCAACTCTTCCCTGCCACAAGTTGCCACCATAGCTTCTATTGAGGCGAATTTCACCTTCTCTTGCCTCATTTCCTAACAATATTGTACAGTGAGAGTATAAATACGTATCCACTTACTACAGTGGCTTGGAGGGTAGCGGTAACTTACATACCTTGTTGACATTGGACTCCCACCATCATAGTCGTGGCTTCTGGGCCCTGTGACATTATAGTACCTACACGCCGTTACATTTTCTTCAGTTCCTGAGCAGCCCACATCTCGGATGTGAATGGTATCAGTTCCTTTTCCATATGAGCTACAGCAGGAGACTGCCTCACCTGAATATATCACAAAGGTTTTATTGGAGCACAATGACATAAAATCTCAATTTTAAGGGCATAATGCTGGAAAACCTGTCATCTAAGTACTTTTACTATCATTCAAGGAAAGATAAACAAAGACCCCAACAGTCTTGCATTAAAAAACATTTTCAAATCCCGTTAAACGTAGTTTTAGTGTATATACTACATGTGTTAGCCGACCAGGTTTGCAAAATGTTTGTACTAACACATTGTACAACATGTACATAGTAACACATACCACTTCCAGAAGCATGTTGTAACTGTTTACAAACAACTCTGGCATCACTGACAGTCCACTGAGGGTCACTGATAGTTCCCCATGTTCCTTTCCAGAATATCTCCACTCTACCCTCCCAGTTGTGAGGTCCTCCCACCAGACGAATGTCACCCTCTCTGTACGAACCTTCAGCTGAGTTTTTAAAAACCCACATGCAGAATATTATGTATGTGTATGTAAAACACCAACAAGGTTGCAAAGCGAAGGTAAACAATAACACCCACGGACAACTCTAAAAAAAGCTGCCTGGGTGAGATTCGAATCAACAACACTGCAGTTAGGAAGAGCTCCCTACATGGGCAGCTCAGCATAAGGGATAGATGCAGAAAATATGCAAAAGTTACCCAAATACAGTGAGAGAGTTTTTCTGTCACATCACAAACAGTTCAACATAACGGCTTCTCGTAAATTTATAAGTTTCACGGTTGCCAAAGGACAAATCACAAGACAAACCATTTTCAAAACTTCTCTGTGGGAAACTCGACTCACAACACTAGACACATTGTAGCAGACTGCTCTACAGACTGAGCTACGTAGTGGAGCAGTTTACCAGTCAGCACTACTGCACTGTACATTGAGGCTATGAACTACAAACAAGTTTGAGGCTAAAGCCTCCCCCCACAATAAATAACAGGTGGTGTAAGTTACTTAATCGCACCAGGTTGACATTTGACTCCCACATCGAGAGAGTGGGTAGTTCTCCTCCCACTGTCCTCTATCTCACAGTCAGTCAGACTGTACTCTGATCCAGTGCACTGTACAGAGTCCAGGTTGATGGTCCTCTACCTTCACCAAAATAAGCACCAGAGTGGCCAGTAGCACCTGCAGGTGACAAAAAGGGTTTGTCTTGATGGATGTGCACACATGGCTGGGAAACATCTATCTCAGTTTATGTAGATCTTGTGCCTTGTGCTCAGCATGTGCATGCAGTTGTCTGTCTAGCTACTACAATGAAAAAGGCAGGCCCAGAGATAATCCACGCTCTGTTGCAATAGCCATAGCCACAAAACTACTGTGTAACCCACACTATACACTTATCCTTTGCTAGTATATACTACCAACAGGCTTCGTATGCTGCACATACTACTACACAGAGGCTGTGTAGGCATTCAGTTACTACCCATGTGTTGTGCTGGCCATGCAAGGCACATACACAAACTGACACTATTGAGTGCATAATGATTATACACTCTTAAGTAAAGGACTTGCTGAAATAGTGCAACAGGCTTAGATCAAGACTCACAAAGTTTGTATACATTTCTGTGACAAACATAGACTTACGCCTGTATAGTGAACATATAGGACAACAATCATTACAGTTAGAACAACTATGGTTTAGATCGTTAACGTTATTTGTTAGAGTACAAACCCATGAATGTACATACAGTACTAGAAAGCACATGAAAGCAGCATGCACACAGTAACAAGGAAAGTTGCCCCAGCTTCTGTCAGGCTACCCGGCCTGGTGTGTGATCAGTGCAGGAGCTTATTTTTTAGACCCTTTCCCATTCTTCCCTTAGTATTCACTAATTCTCTTAACTTTGCCAAACCACACAAGCCAGTAAGCTTGCGGCTTTGTAGCACCGTTGTCAGATAGCCCAGTCAGACATTAAAGGGCCTATTAGTGGTTCTAAACAGGAAATTAAAAATACGTTAGGATTAATTTTTGGCGACTTAGCTGCTGAAAGAACGTTAAATCTAGAATTTTGCTCAACCCAAACTGATCCACATGGAGAATAGGAGTATAACACAATAGAATCATAAGTGAGGTGTGAAAGAAAGGTAACTGAAATTGCTCAACAGAAGTAGATAATGCTTGGAGGGTAGGGTAACCTGGTCTGAAGTGACCCAATTTTCGACAGACAACTCTGGCATCATCATCAGTCCAGTCAGAGTCAGTGATGGTACCCCATTCTCCAGACATGTAGACCTCCACTCTACCTTCCCACTGGTAGGAACCTCCGACCAGACGAGCATCTCCATCACGATAATATTGACAACCTGCGCAGCGGATTCGGATAGTATATAGCACCCAGCAGCTACACAGCTAACAACGTACGTGTGGTTGTAAATAACAGCACAAAAACCGGTAGCAATCCTGACAGTAAATCCCAGAAGGCCATTTAGTGGAGGATGATCGTTAGACTCGGCACCCACATACACTGAAGCAGTGTGAAGCTAAACCTGCAGCGCGCAGGTATTATAGGTTCCGCGATAAAATTAATGCCCAGAGACTCGTGCATAAGGGCACCGAGGGTGACAATGCGCGCGATATTCGTTAAGAGCGGCGCGGCGGACGTTGTAATGAGAGTGTGTACCTGCCTTACCGACAGCGACAAGTTACAAGGTTGCTTCAATTCATTACAAAATTTATAGTGAATATATTATCGAAAAATTTGTTCGTCAATAAGAAGTTGAGTCCATTTGTCTCAGTTGGCGCACTCGTAGATGGCCCCAGTGGAATTAGAGGTAGGTGAAGCTTCTGTCTCATCCAGACAGGTGCTCTGGCCATCGGAATGAGACTGGGGCTCAGCCGCTGCAGACTTGGCCCCCTTTGGGAGAGGGTTGGGAGCTTCATAGTTCCCAGCCGGGAGGTCTTCCCCCTCCATCTTGTTTTCTAGAGCAACAGACTCTGTATTGCTGCTGAAGGTGAAGACATAGGAGCTGAGGGATTGAGAGAGGTGAGTGAAACCTCCGAATAAGGGACACCTTGGGGACATTGAAAGTGTCCTGTATTTAGATGAGTCCATTATTCGGATTCGGAGCTAATAGGAGTTCTTTTTCGGAGGTTTCACTGTATTAAATGAAAAGCACTAAATGCAAACCCTCGGCAAACTGCGCATGCGCGATACTGCTAATTGATGGGCCATGGCTGGGCTATTTGTATGCGTTTACTCCAGGGGGGTTAGGACAAGCTTGCGTAGTTACGTAAGAACCACATGACAAAAACGCACGTTCCATACATGCCAATGCTCATAAGCGTTGTATTGGAAGTATGCATAGTAAGCGATATGGTTTACTAAAGAGAGAGGGAAGTCTGAGGACATGGGCTGGTACTCGCCCTCGTGCCCACGTCCCTGCAAAACACCGTTACCAAGTCTCAAGACAAACAGGCTATCGAAAAGTGCTCCTATACAAGAAACCGTTGTAGAAACGGTATGATCGACACAAAGCACAAGTTCTTAGCGGATTTTCTTCACGGAATTCTACAAAGGTATCTGTGGAGTAGCTAGGCTACAACAATTTGGTGCGTGGCTTGGCCTAATGCTATCCACTGTCTACTGCTCATAGCTTGCTGTATTTGTGCAGCAATTGGAACATTTGAATAGCCTGACGTACCTTGGATTGAGTCAAATGGTAGTAGACGGGAGTGGAAAGTCAAGGCCAGATGCTAAACGCTTCGCAAGCTTAGGCACTCCCATTCATAAGCTGCTAGCAAAAAAACGAGTTGTGGTTCCACCAAGATTTTTGATCTTCTAAGGTGCCTCCTTCACTCTGTCAAGAGAAAAACTTCAGCCACGGCCTAGATTGCCGAAAATTCCTTGAAGACTGGTTGAACGAGAAAGCCCATACATTCGGGAGTGCTGATTCAGCAAATATTGCTCACACGTGAGCACATTTACGACACGCTGGGTGAGATGCAAGTGGAACAAGTCAATGATGAAAGTAAGGAATTTTGTGACGAGGCTAAGGAAACTGATAACCAGAATTAATGGACAAAACATTTTGAAAATTACTGCACTCTTTAGAACCAAATAAACAGCTGTGGTTAGTTAGCTGATGATGAGCTGAATACGAATGATTAGCTGAAAATATATAGTTGTAAAGAATAATTACGGCATGCAGTTATCATCACTGTCAAAGTCAGTCCATAGTGCTGTTGTTCTCAATCAGTCGGGACACTCGTAAATGTCCTCCTCCGCGGGAGGTCGCGGGCGTCCCCGCCTCGGTAGGACATTGGGGAGAGTCTTTGGACCAGCGTCAGCTCGGGAGTTGCCACCACTTTGTGCATAGCGACTCCAATCCGCCTTCTGAGGCGACATGGTGCTCGCATTGTCGCTCGGAGCTTGTCTCAGCTGCGATCTTGGCGGAAGTGGAACAGGGTTTGTGGCCTTCATTTGTTCGCAGCTCTCGGTTGGGAGGTCTTTTCCCGCCAGCTTGTTGTCCAGAGAGACTGTCTCGTTTATGTTGCTAAAATGAATCCCAGAAGAGCTGTATAGTGAAAACAGACGTACCTGAAAAATTAATTCAGGCACTGCAGTATTTTCATTGAGTGTTTTACAACTGTCTATTAAGTGGAACTTGGCAGTATATAAGAGCAAGGAAATATTATTTTAAGTGATAACCAAATATTCTCGTACTGGACCCTAGTAATATATCTAAATATAGGTCATAAACTACAGTGGGCAGCATCTGTTATAGTGTGTGTATACTGGCTCCTTCACTTTTACCCCACAAGCAGTGATAGTTTAGAGTTTAGCTATAGCATAACCTACCTTCCTCTGCTCTTTTTCCTTTGCCAGACCACAATCAGAACCGCGACAAGAGCAATCACTACCACGGCAAGTAGAGCAGACACTGACAGACTTGCATAGACCATACCACTGGAGCTTTCGCTGCTCCCACCAGTTCCATCATCATTGGTAGCAGTTGGACTGGGCTCTTCATTCGTACTATTATCGCAGCTGATACTGATATCCATGGAGGTACTGGAAGAGGACTCGTGATAGGAACAGTCGGTGAGTTTATCTTCTGAGCCGTAGCAGCCTACCAGTGTCATGAATGTTGGTAGGAAGATGGATACTCGGGTCCTCTGGTGTTTTGTGTATGAAACATCTGTGTAGTTATAAATGACACCCCATGAGACCAACAGAACAGAAGGCTGTAAGCCCTAAAGTTGGTCAAATGCTAACTTAGGTCTTTGAAAGATGCCTTGAACTCAAAAAAATATTGCAATTCTCATTCCAACTATAAATTCAGATGAACATAACCATCTAAAGTATTTCCAAATCACTATTATAATGTGTGTTATAGTCTTGTTTACTGCAAAACATAACTGTGCTGTAACTACTACTGTATGTATATACCTTCAGTGGAGTGTCCAAATTGTCTACAGGCAACTTGGGTGTCAGTGTGTGTCCATCCATGTCCATCTATTGTTCCCCATCTCTTCCCAAAACAGACCTCAAGTCTTCCTTCACTCTCTGTAGCTCCTCCAACCAGTCTTAGATCTCCGTCTTTGCATTGAGCTATAATTATTAGTATAATATATCACAGTAGGTTGGATGTAATATACTGGAGAAATACATTGAGTTGCAGACTTACACTCTTGGCACTTGACAACTGATGGGGGGTATGTCTTGTAGTCAGTGTATTTCGTAAATCCACCACTCTTCCAGTGACAGGTCCCGACGTGAGACAGTTGACACTGTGATAGGACAATGGTTTTGACGGGGCGTTGGCTATGGATGGAAAGGTTAGTTGACCCATCTGTTTGTCAATGATGAAGCCAGCCGGTACACATAAGAACCATATACAGAAGAAAAATGCGCAGCTCGTACAGAATAGTCCTATCCAAAAGGAGTTACAACAACACGAGTGTTATCCTCAGTCATCATCACCGCCAACATCATCTCCCATCTGTAGTCAGACTTCCAGTCTACTTCAATTGATCTCCTCCTTCATAGAACCTTATCTGGTGACCATTGACATCAGTTATCTAGATGTCACACATGAAGTGAATGAATGTTTAGAGCAGTGTTATGCATCACCTACCAGACGGCATCGTACGCCAATATCAGAATCTGTGATGATCTAGGTATATGTGTCGTGATAGCTTGACACGTGAGAGAGTCTAAGTTCTGTCCCAGTACAGCTAAAGTACTTTGAATGTCTGGTCCTCCACTGTCCCATAATAAGCATAGCAGAGCTAGAATCTGTGGAACGGTAATGAAGGGAGGGAAACAAGGATTGATACAAAGGAGCACACACGTTCTGCACATTACTCTAGCAGCCGCATATCAGTGGATGGTGTTTCATAACATCACAAGTCGCTCTCTGCTTTTTTAATGGCATGATTTCTACTCAGTGCCACTCTTCATCTCGCTACTGCTCAAGCGACTAATTGTTGCAAGCTACATCTACTGCATATACAAACACGACACATAGCTCCGTGCAAGATCCTCGATAAAGCTATTAAGTCATTAAAATAGTATTACATTGAAATCCTAGCTCAATGCAAGCGATCCTTGCATTGGTATAAGACCACAGGGAGCTTGAACTTGACAGTGTGTTCCATCTCTGATCTGAGCAGATTTCAACACGTCCATAATAATTTGATCTCTCAGCTAGTCTCAGCTGCCCATCAGAACAGCGGGCTATTGAAGAAACAAAATATTCATTAATACCAGGGGATACCTTAATCCCAGATTAGTAAAGATTAAAGTCATTCATATTATAACTGTAAGCTAAGATTTACAGAGGTGCCTCTCTGAAAAGGCAAGACAGAATCTTTGTTACATTATGCATGTGTATACTCAGATGGCATAAAAATTAATATACAGCTTGCACTTGGGATGTGGACACCTATACCAGCCACAATTCAACAATGAACGTCTATTACCTGGTGCACATTGTACTCCAATATCGTCATCATGAGAACATCCGTAGTAGTGGGTCCAGTGAGTACAGCTACCCCATAGATTCCATTCATTACCAGTGCAGTTGACAAAGTCCATGAACACAGGTCCACTGCCTTTACCATACTTCTCAGGAGAATAGTAGGTCAGATCTAAAAGCATTAGACACAAATGAAAAAGCAGCTAAAAGCAATTTCAAGCGTGACAGTCTAACCAACTAAATTTGGTATAATTATAGCGGGAAACCTCTGACAGGGAGAAATCTGTAATTTGGCAGCCAACGAGAAATGCTTGTGGATTGCATGTCCGACAATGCAAAACCCTCCCACTAAGTTTCACAGAGTAAAAGAACCCTGACTAAATTCATCTTCCATTACTATACAGTATCAACTCACCAGTCGGTAGGTCACTGAAACTGAAATACCTACAGACCACTGCTGTGTGTCTGTTTGTCCACTGAGTCCCACACACACTTCCCCATCTCCCATTATTGCACACCTCAAGCCTCCCTTCTCCCTCTGACTCTCCTCCTATTAGTCTGATATCTCCAGTTGAACAGTCATCTGTAAGCCACAGCCACATAAATTTTCTACGCTGCCTAAATTGATTGATTTGCCATTCAACACTGTGTTCACTAAAACATATTGGCTTTGTACACTTAATTTTTCACTGTTTGTACAATTAAAGCAGCGAATGACTGGGATAGATTTACTTACAATATGCACACTCTGTTCTCGGTACGTTGTCTATCACAGTAACATGGACATCATAGACACAATCACTCAGCTGATATTCACTACCACTGCACTCCACATTGTCCATTGTTTCTACAGTTCCGCTGGTTGAATAGGAGTTATAAGAAATTGCCACAGTCCCTGTATAAATATTGCATATCACTTGCAATGGTTAGTGGTAAAATCTTTTAACCATTGTAGCCGAGTTCTCTGCACACCACTTCAGAGTTATCCATTGTCCATGTCCCCCAGCTGTCAGCAATGGGCACCCAGGCACCAGACAAGAAGACTCGGGCATATCCATAACGTGTACTACTCAACGTGACTTCAAGGGGCTGCGGTCCATCTAGATAATTATCCGTTTTCTTCATTTAGGTGGTTAGAATTAAAAGTTGTAAGGATACTAACCTATGTAGCAGTATACACCCCAGTCCTCATTGTGCCCACAAGACGCTGCTTGATTCACACAGTCATTCAGTCTGTATTCAGAGCCAGTGCATGCTGGATAGGCAAAGTGAATTGGACCAGCTCCTTGTCCAAAATTAGCACAACAACGAGAAGATGATCCTAGAATTAAAGATTGATAGCCTCAGTTTAGATCCGTTACCAAAGTATCTACCCATCAACGACTACTAACTAGATGTCACCACTTACTGTATACATTGTATCCCAGTTGACGACAGACAACTCGAGCATCATTACCATATGCTCCATCATCACAAACAGTGCCCCATTCACCAGACAGGAATATTTCAATTCTCCCCTGCCACAAGTTTCCGGCATAGCTTCTATTGAGGCGAATTTCACCTTCTCTTGCCTCATTTCCTATATTTACAGAGCTTGTTAACTTACTCTTCATGATAAACCAAAAAGCACCCTAGGCATGGGCAGCGAGGGGTACGGCATTTGTTTGTAAGTCTATCTGTCAGTTTGTCTGTCTGCACTGCCTATAAATGTTGCATCTTGTGCTATGATCAGCTGAGTCTGCCATTCTGTTCTTAAGACTGACACGTATTCAGGGGCACACGTGTTTCATGCATGCACATTAGCTTAAAAGAAGAGAGAATCTGCCAGCAGTTTGTCTTGTCTTGTGAAGCTTGTGTGAAGTCTCATTAACCCTCGGCGCGCATGCGCAGCGAGGGTTACGGTAGTTGGGTTTGTCTGTCTGTCTGTGTGTGTGTGTGTCTGTCTGTTACTCGTCATCTCACTTCTCGAGTGTTCGTTCGTCTCACAAAGGATACCACCTACTGAACGGGCAATGAAGGTCAGAAAATATGTGGGGTTTTCTCTGAAAATGCTCCGTTGCAGAGCTAGAGCGCGAAAAAGCTAATATGCAAATAGGCAACGGACGGGACGGCTTACCACGGTCTGATCGATCCGCGTGCTCTGCGTACCTCAGAGGCACCAGAAGATGCAACGCAGGGCGTGTATCGCCTCTCGCATGCTATCTAGTAGTGTAGTTAGCCCGCGTCAGACTCTGCGCGAGCTGGGAAGAGACCACGAGTAACAGCTAAAACTAAACCCAGCCCATCAATTAGTGGTACGGCGCATGCGTTTACTTACGCGTGCGCGTCACAGTACGCCGAGGGTTTGCACTTCAGTGCTTTTCATTTGCATATTGGCTTGTTCACTTGGTTCACGCCATAACTTTTGATTGCAGTGTTTTTACGAAAATCAAGCGAATGTAGCGCCGAACCCGTTGGCGTAGAGTTTTGGCGATCTTGTTGCATCTAGTGGCAGAAACCGTGAACGGACACACAGACACACTGACCAAGCACCGTAACTCCCGCTGCGCATGCGCGCCGAGGGTTAATTATATTCGGATGCAAATAAACA